CCGTTTTTATTTGGAAAATTACGTACAATATACATTCAAATGTATATTGTAAGTAGTATTAATGTTCTACATTACTTAGCAAATAGAAGTTTGAAAATAGCGTGTGAAAACAACACCTCTGCATTATTTACTACGCTATAAAAGTAAATTTTGGAATTTTCTTGTTAAAGGACAAATGTGTGGCATTTGCAAGGCAATTTCGTTACAAATATTCGTCTCACATATGTTTTATTAGCTGATGCGTGAACTGTTACATTATATAAATGTCGGAATGCCAACCAAACTAAACACTTCACAAATAATTTAGATGTATTTTATAAAAGTCCATTAAAATGTTACAATTTGAGTGCCATACTGTATATTTGTTAGAGGACGCAATTTAATTTATGAGACATGTAGGGGGTCAATACAAGCTTAAACCCAAGTTTGTGGGGTTGGCGCCCTTGTCACCCGGCCGCCATCTTGGAAAAAGGGGTGAAAACACATTTTTGTGTCGGCATTTTACAGGCAATTAAAAGACCCATCGACTACATTGGCTGGGCAGTTAAAGCAGGTTTCTTGAGCCGACTTATTGGTTGTAAATCAGTAGGTCCACCTAGGTACCACTGGACAGAGTGGAGGAGGACCGACTGGAGCTGAAAGCCAGCAATTGGCAGGTCTGGAAGTTACACATTTCGGAGACCAAGACACCTTTTAGGTCGCAGAGCCAGCGAAGTGAGAGAATGTGTGTCAATTGAAATATTATTATTGTTGAAAATGCTGTTGCTTGGCGGATCCATGCGACTTCTTAGATACAAAAAGACTCCTCGGTATATGTGTGCCGCGATATCGCTAATAAATTGCGAGGAAGTTGCATATAGCGCTGCGCTTTGTCTCACGTCTAGATCTTATTTCTTTCATATTTAATAATTACTTTATTGTCGTTTTACCATGTTAAAATTGCATACGTTTTTACAATTTTTACGTCATAAACTTAAACGTTTTTAAACCTCTTATTACGTGTCTTAATAATGATTATCGTACATAAATAGTATTTATAATTATACTATCCTTTTATAAATGCGCTGGTTAATTTATAAAAGACCAAACATATAATATAAAATTATATATCTTTGTAGAATAAATCAAAATAACTGGAATGCCGTGTGAGAAAAGCTTTATGGCTGTATTTGTAACATGCGGCTTGTCTATTTGCCTGAGGTTATGTAAATTGCCTTATTCTCGCGTTATAACCTACAAAGGTCATGCAAAGTGGAGGCTATACCGACAGGAAAAACATGATAAGCAATTCTCATACAGTAAAAGAGTTAGTTTATATTCAAGTTTTAAACGACCATTCTATTTCAATTGTAGTTTCTATAATAACAAGTATGCAAGGTTACTGAAGCGACTCGGCAAAAGGTCTCCATGGAGTCAATTGCAATGTCTGTGCTTATCAGTGCTTGCTTGGCGTCGTCTGTTTTTAATTATTGAGAAAAGGAATATTGTTTTCATATAGAGTACGGGCATTGGCCCTGACTTTTTTCATAATACATATTTTGGTATTTTCTCTTATACGAGAGCTGTGTTGGACTACAGGTATGAATGAGTGTGACGCTCATTCCTGCCATCGTGGGTCGTTCCCCGGCTGTGCACCAATGGACTTTCCATTTCGCAATTAACACCCGCTCGTATAGGCAAATGATCACGTAACATTTTCAGAAATCTGAGACCCAGACGCAGGTTATAGCGCCACTGATTATCTTTTTCTCCTATTCTGTGTCAATTGAGTTCAGGTACTTACAATGAGTAGTTCTCGTAGTTCTTGAGTAGTGTCTCTTGCTTTCGACCGTGAGGACGTTCGAGAGGCTGTGCATTAGCGGATGTTTGACACATAGTTAAGTAGACAACATTATGAGGAAGCCGGCCTGTCTTGGACCCAAAAATCCTCAAATAGTTTTTGGCTACATGAAGGTGTACAAAAAATGATTAAAGAGATTATATGGAAAGATCTGTCCCCACTAGAGTTTATTTCATTACTTTTCATTCCCGGCTATGTACATCTGGGCATTAATTTTCAAAATATTTTGGATATTATTTATTTTATAATTTAACATTGGTGAAATAATTTCTGAATTGGATATAGTCTTTGTGTTTGTTCATTATATTTCCTGTTTATATATAAAAATACAGCTAACAATTTTTAATATAGTTTTGAATAAAGCGATAAGTGAAAACGTAATCATACGATGATCGACGAAAACCGTCAGTTAGCTAACGACATGGCTTTAGTTCAATAAACCAAGTGACGTAGAATTATGAATGCTGGATATGAAACCCAGGATGTCCAGTTAAAAAAATTGCATTTTACTCCAACGCCACCGTGGTGAATGGTGACGTTATCGCAAGGTCTAATTGCTGAAATTATCGTGATTCATGTATTTCATTGCGTACATTATGTTTCAATTGCTTTGTTTTGTTCCATTCTTTATGTCAATGTAATTGTATCTCTTATGTAGTTTTGCACAACCACTGCCTACAAGGTTAGCGTTTAATTAACTTTTTTTTCCTTACAATAAATTCCTGGAAGTGATCGCAGTTCACCTCCTTTTTATTTGATTATTTTAGTTGTACTGTATTCCTTACAGAAAGTGTTTTTTTTTAATTTTGTGTAAAATTATTATCAAGGTTAATGCCTAAAATTACAACGGCAATTTGTATATTCCTCCCGATCAAAACTTTGCACATCAATAATTATGTAAAAAAAATATATGCTGCATTTCTAGATGTTTTAGCTGCGAGAAGTCCCTTTTCAAATTACCTTATTCATTTAATAGCATCACCGGGTAGCAGATGCGAATTTATTTGATATTTTATTCTAGATACGTCTTCATAAAACGCAATGACGCGGCACGTAGATAAATTTTGTATTTATTTTATATTTTTTAAAATGTTGATATTATTTTCAATCGAAATATATTATGTTCATACAGGTTTCATGTATTTAAAAAAAATCTAATTTAAAATACTGATACTACACATATTTTAGCGCCACCTGTGGCAACATAGTAACACTACAACAGCCGGTTTTAACAGTAAGCACGCGACACTACTATCTAAAGGCTACCATTTAAATTAATTAAGGCGCAAACATGGATACAAAGCGCTGTCTTAGTTCGGATACTAAGCTCTAGGTGGCGCTGAACTAAATTGTTTATTGTGTATGGGAAAGGTGTGCGGTAAATGTTTTTCTCTGCATCTGATTGCCTAACTTTTGTTTAGCTAATTTTTATGTTCAGATGGCAACTTATTTTAAAGATAGAGATTATGGTATTTTTCATACAACTGTTCCGTACGCGCGTTAACGCGTCACCGCGCAGAGAGAAAATCTCAGACCCCGGGGGGGGGGGGGGGGGGGGGGGGGGCGGGGTTTGATATTAATGTAAGGGGGGGGGGGGGGGGGGAGGTCCGTTTGCTGTTCAGATGAGCGCGCGCTTTCATCGCGATCGCATGTAATTTTATTAATTTTCGTAATTATATTTAGTTCTCGCTTTTAAAATGAGTGAAATTGAAGATATTGACATCGACTTACTAATCGATGAAGTAGAAAAAAGGTCAGCAAGTTGGAATATAGAAATTTGTATAAAAATATAATATAAATTTATTTTTTTTTTTAAATTGGATAAACCTAATTTTTCTTTTTCTATATTTTCTTTATAATATAACCACAAAATAATCCTTTCCACTCCATTTTCTACGTTCTAAACTAACTAAGGGTTTTCTCGCAGCGCGTTTGCGCTCATAACTGAACCTTCAATATCGAATCCCGCGGTACATGTGAACATAGTAGTCCTACGTTATCGTTTATTATCTCTAGTGACTGTGGGTAAGATAATAAAATAAAACTTAACAAAGTCAATTAAATATTAAAAAATTAGTTAAGTAATAAAGTTACCTTAAATTATCAAGTAATTAATTAATAATGAATAATCGATGTTAAAACACGAAAATTACAAATTCTTACAATAAAGCAGTCAAATTTTATAACAATTATAAAAATTAAAAATAGCACGTCCGACTGTAACGTTACACTACTTATTAGAACTAACATATAATACAAATTAATTACTAAATATAAGTCAATGGTGTTAATTCTGCCTTAATTAATATCATATTTTATGTAAATTAATTTTACATGAAAATATGTAATTTTACCGACCGCAATTAAATGTTTTTGAACTAAAGGAATATACTCATTGTTCATAAAAGTAAATCAGTTTAATAAGATACTTTAAAAACAATACCAGATAATTTATTAGTGAATATAGAACCAAAATAAATGTTATATTAAAATTCTGTTACTAGCTTTAAAAATAGAACCCGCCAAAACGCGCCAAGATGGCGTCGCACTAGTCCCTATGCTTATAACCAAACTTATTTTTATTACGTGTTAATTATGATTCTTAAATTACAAACATATTTCGATAAAATACAGTCTCCATTGAAATTAAACTCCGATATAGTTTTAGGATTAGGCGAAGACATATTATTAAAACATGCTACGTCATCGTCAATTCGACTAGTCTGTGACCATTTTGTAAACGGGACGAAATAAGTATAAATATTTTTAATAATGATTTTTTACATTTTATTTAACTCCATATCAATTGTTAAAGCGATGTTTTGTACAGAAAACTCAATTACACTTTATTTTTCATACTGTCCAAAAGCCTAAACTTCAAGACATCTGTTTCGAAGCGTTAACACAATTTGATAGAAAGAGAAAAAAGAGTGAGTGATTTAAGTATTTTTACTCATCATTTTTACTCTCATCATCTTTACCGTAGTTCGAGACACTATGAGATTGTTTAATAACTTTAAAATATAAATTGTAGATTGCACTTAAAAGAACACTTCAATAGATTTTGCTACGTTAAGCGTTTCCATTAAAAAAAATTAATTGGATTCTCGTAAATCTAAAGAGAGTTGATATCAGTATTAACACCACTGGTTATATTAAGTTATTCTAGTATAAATAATCTAACACTAAACACTCCTACGAATAATGCAACACATGAAGATATCATATGAGAGTTACTGGGTTGGCTCTCAAAATCCTGAATGCTTCGATGCGATTTTATTTTGTCCGGTTTCGCTTCATCGGCGGCCATATTTCGATCGTCATAAAAACCATTTGCCATTGGTTTCGCTGAAACAGTTGACAGTCGACTGGTCGTGTATATATTTTTCTGATCTTCACCCTTATTTTCGATAAGCATTGGGACTTTTGGTTCCACACTTGCTGTTGTTGTACTCGGCTTTACTGAAGTCTTTTGTTTGGGTGTTTCAACGTCCGGTTTGAGAAGGCTGTCGAAATTTTTGGAGCAATTTAAAAGGAAACGCATGTCAATGTAAAATAGTTTCCCATTTAACTGTGTGTCATCATAATATTCATAATCATTTTGGCCATCGTCTTCCACGTCTGTGTTCTTGTCACCTTCCGCTGTCTTCGTCCATTTGTCTCTGATGTCCGAGGTGGGTATACATTTAAGGTTTTCGATGGATAGCTTCAAGTGCGAACTATTCGTGTTGTTCATTAATGATAAGAACAAGTCCAGGCGGCAATCGCAGGGGAACATGTTATCTGAAAAATACAAGGAATACGCAATAATTATAAATAATAATTTATAAGAAGTGCCGCAGAGAAGTGTTATAGCTGATAGGACACACACATGTGTGTGTCTGTTTCATTCTAAGCTTCTGTGACTTCAAACCTAAAGAATTATCGTTTTACATAGATTATGTTATGTAGGAATAAATGTAATGATATATACTCGTTTTGTATAGAACGAATTATATATATAAATAGAATAAATTTATATTTTATAAATGTTATTTCGAACATTAACCAACCAAATACGATACGTATTATCTAACTAGGTAGCTAAATAATACATGTCCTCTCTAAAAATTACCTATAGTAATGAAACTTGGACTACCAAACTAATGTATAATATATCTGATGTCAGTTTACTTGAGTGTAGATTTTGTATCAATATACGCAAACTTACGAAATTGCACTTTTTGTGTGAACGAGTAAACTGATAACCTCCTTTTTTTCAACTCAGTTAAAAAGTTAATTAATCATTCCATTTACATTTCACGTCTGAAGAGTAGGTATTGATACGCTTAATTAAATAATAAGATAAAATATTTACCTTCAACATCGAGACTGCTGACATTACTGTAGAAATTCTCAAGTATCGGCGCCATTACATCGGAGTCAAGATTCTGTAGTTGATTGCCTTTCAAACTCATTGACTTTAAGGATTTTAATCCAACAAACAACTTTATATTTTTAATTTCTTTCAGTGTATTATGAGCAATTGATAAAGATTGCAAATTGACGAGCCCATGAAAAGCTTTCTCGTCAAGCATCTGAATTTTATTTCCATCCAAATTTAATACCCGAAGGTTCTTTAAAGGCGCAAACGTATTATCCCCTATCACTTGCAAACTGTTACTACTAAGATCTAACTTTTCCAACTTTTTTAAGCCTAAAAAGGTTTCACTGTTCAACATGAATAAATTGTTTGTATCAATTTCCAGTTCTCTTAGATTAGACAAATGTATGAAAGCTTTGTCGTGGATCGTTGTAATTTTATTTCTCGTCAAATATAGCTTTTCTAGAGACGGTAAATCGACAAATACATTTCTGTTTATCTCGACTATGTTATTTGTATCTAGGCCAATTGTTACCAAGTCCCTGTGATGCGCAAAGGCATTAGCTTTTAAATCTTTGATCTGATTATCTCTTAGTGTTATGTCTTCAACGAATGTTAGATTAGCAAAATCGAATGGTTCTATTGACTCAATATTGGCGTACTTTACTTCGAGTTTTAGAACTGATTTCGTGTATTGTAACGCGTGTTGAGGTATATACTTCAAAATAACGCCACGTGTATTCGTGAATGTTAGCTTGTGGACATTTTCGAGTTCTTCAAAAACCTTCCAATTGGCATCATCAATTGAGATTTCGTTGACAGTTGCATAGCAATTAGCACTCCGAATCAAGTCGAGATTTGAATCTCGAACGCAGTAACATTGAATTTTATTTGTGTTGTTATAAACTGGGTCGCATATATGGGATTTGGTTTCCCGTTTTTGATGCAATCTTTTGCCTTCGACGCAGAAGAGCACGGCGCATAGGAAAAACAGCTTCCAGGATGTCATATTGATTGTGAAACACCACCTGTAATAAGGAGAAGTTCTATTTAATTTTTAGTATATTAACACCAAATAAATTTTCGTCATAATCTGGCTTTCTCTCAAATCTCAATCCTATAAAGCTGTGTGTAAACCAACTTAAAAAAAACCCTGGTGAAGTTTGGAATTTTGTATTTAATACAGAAATAGCAAGTATAAGAAGGTATGCTCGATTCTCTCTCATTTATTGGATATTGGCAAATCAATCATTAAAGTGTATCCAATATAAGGAATAATCCTACTAAACTACTGCTCTTGATTACAAAATCTGTAGGCGTTTACAATAAGACACTAAAAACAATTTCTAGTAGTCATAAAAATCCTGAACGATTATTTTATGAATAAGTCTTTTAAAATTGTTACATTAAGTGGAATAGCATGTACAACTAGTTATACTAAATAACGTCATATTACTTCAAAAATAAATCGAATAACATTTCTCAGGAAAATGACTAACTCCTTGGTCACGTTCACACTATCAACAATAAAGGAGAGGATGTGACTTCATCTGAACAAATATCCTTTTTGTACCCACGAGTTATTTTAACAGTAACTTAGGAATTTTTTGTAGTTAATTTTAGAAAACAAAATATATTTTGTAATATGATAAATAAACACTAAAATTTAAAAGGATTGTATAAAATTGTTTCTTAAATTATTGTAATAATTTTTAATAAAAACTTTGATTATTTGACGAAAAACAATTGTTTAATTATTAAATTCTATCTGAGAGATTTCAAATCCAAATAAATATTAAAACATTCGGACCCAGAACATCCAAGGTCATGGATCCACTAAATTATGGCAATTTCAGGACTAACTAAACTATGGAGTAGTGTTAGCTTAGAGGCTTGAGCGTGCGCTTCAACCCTAAGGTCGTGAGTTCGAGTCACGGCTGCACAGTGAACGGTGTGTGTCAGGCACAAAAAGCTACTCATGAACTTGCCAACTGAGAACAATAAATCACGAAACAGATACAGAAATCGGAGGACCAGACCTAAAAAGTTGCAGCACCACTGTTTTTTTATAAATAAAATCTCCTTAAATCTCATCAAACATATATACATTAATTTTGATTTATTTATTTTATACATAATCTGAAAATAAAAAGAATTTATAACAGTGTGATGGAAACACAAACTGGACACAGTTTGAATGATCTCATGCTATTTGTAATTTAAAAGCCAACCTACACTTTTGAGTGGAGATAAAAATGTTAATTTATTGACAAAATTATAACAATGTTTCGCAAGCTACTTGGCAATACAACAAAGCTATAATATTTTATATCCGCTTCTTTATTATATAGCTCTATCGTCATACAACTAGAGAGCATCTTAAATACCTTATAACTTTAATAATTCTCTAATTTCTCAGTTCCTTTCGCAAGTACTTTCTCCGTTCTAACAAATTAAGCTTCAATTAGCGGAGAACTGTTGGCCTTTGATTAATTTACGAAGTGACAAGTGAGTGATCCAAACATTCAATTACTATTTAAGGTTTCGTCTTTGGCTTAGTAGTTGATTTATTATTAATACGTTCGTATACTTTGTTATTTCTTTTAACGACACTTTTTTTATACCACATTTTGGTTTCAGGTGATTAAAAACATTTTGCAACAAACATGGCGATTAAAAAGAGGGAGGGAGAGTTTATTGCCAGTTCTTCTGGTCCGTTCTACGGCCTTGATTTGAGAACTGGCAGAATATTTTTTTACCAACGTTCATAAGTGTATTCCGTTACCAGTATGAATAAATTATAAATTGTTTTTGTTTTTAAATCCAACTCGTATATATTGTCAGCACGTTAGATGATTATTATGAAAACTTTTACCCCCTTACCGATAATAATGCCTTACTAATTATTTAATAACCTCTCAACCGAACAGCCTTGGGATCGCTGCCGAAAAACCCCGATTAGCCAGCAGATCAAGCGACGCAAGTGGAATTGGATAGGCCATACACTCCGAAGAAATTCCAATCATATCCCCAAGCAGGCCGTCCCAAGCAAACCTGGCGTAGTATAGTTGCAGATGAGGCAAAGAGAGACGGAAAGACTTGGAGCAAGGTGAAATACGAGGCCCAAGATCAAACGCGATGCAGACTCACTATGGATGCCCTTTACCCCATTTAGGGGTCATATGACATTAAGTCAAGTAAGTGTACCGAACCGCAACAGAGCTTAATACATAAAGTATATCAGAAATAAATTTTTAATGTATGTAGTCTGTCGAGAGGTTTAAACAAGGGTGCGAATGTTCAGATTTGATTAGATTCGGCTCAATAGTGAAAAATCATTAAAACGTCTAATGGGATTTTAAAGGTTGAAGTTTTTTTATAGAACAAAGCACATGTGATCAGGACTAATTGCAAGTGATGCCTAGCACAAAGGACCCTCACACTTGCAGAGTTTCGGTGATTTTAAATCGGAGGTTAGCTATATTGTATTTTGTCTTAGTGTATTCAGACTTTAGTCCTATATATTTAGTTAAAAAATAAATCAATGGCACTACAACCTTTTTAAGTCTGGGCCTCAGATTTATGTAACTGTTTCATGATCATTTGTTAATCTAATAGGCAAGTAGGTGATCACCAGTGCCTGACGCACGCCCTCGACTTTTTGGGTCTAAGGTAAGCCGTTTGAGCGAATGTTAAATGCGCACATAGAAAGAAAGTCCATTGGTGCACAGCCGTAAGAATTGGGGCCTTCACAGAAAGGGGACTAAGTCGAATTGGTTTTGAAATACTTCAGTGGGGAGCTGGCGGACGTCGAGGTCATGTATTGCTTTTAATACTGAACTTATGAACTTATATTTTTTTATGTTTCCTAAGCATTTTTGTATTAGTTAAATTCCCATATTTCACTGTCGATTTGAATCACGTCAAACACTATCGGGATCCCGCGTTATTCAAACGCACTCGTTGAGTGATTGATAACGCAAAGGTTTTGGCACTTTTACCGTGAAAGCCTTACACGTATTTATGTTCGAGACCCTTCACAGGTGAAACGAAAATTATTTTCTAACGATAATGTCTTTATAAAAAGTATGCTTGTGTGTATTTCAATTATTTTCAGAATGTAAAATCTTGGGAAGAAAATGAAAAAGTATTCGCAGTAGACAGCCAAGCTGATATCAAAATCTCATTATTGAGACTGCTGTAGGTATTGCTATTGGAAGTAACAGCGTAAGGGCTCAGATCTTGTGACCACATATCTAATTTTCAGTCATCCCAGCGCACAGAGTGAAGTTGACGATTAATATGCATGAAACTAAATATTCGTTATAAATTTGATACGGAAATGTCGGCTTTATACAAATAAATGAGAATACACCTATATTATATTTTTCATGTTGTCATACTGTCAATGTTAATTGTGGTTGGTTGGTAACCTACTCTTGTGTTATGATATTTCTACTGTGTAAAGTTCTTGATTAAATCAAATAAAATAAAAAGTGGCTGTACAACCTTTTTAGATCCGAGCCACAGATTTCTGTATCTGTTTCATGATCATTTATCAACCTAATAGGCAAGTTGGTGATCAGCCTTCTGGGCCTGACGCACGCCGTTGATTTTTGGGTCTAAGACAAGCCGGTTTCCTCACGATGTTTTCCATCACCGTTCTAGCAAAAAGAAAAAAAAAAAAAAAAAAAAAAGAAAGAGGGGGGGGGGGGGGGGGGGGGGGGGGGGGGGGGGGGGGGGGGGGGGGGGGGGGGGGGGGGGGGGGGGGCCCCCCCCCAAAAAAAAAAAAAAAAAAAAAAAAAAAAAAAAAAAAAAAAAAAAAAAAAAAAAAAAAAAAAAAAAGAGGGGGGGGGGGGGGGGGGGGGGGGGGGGGGGGGGGGGGGAAAAGAAAAAAAAAAAAAAAAAAAAAAAAAAAAAACAAAAAAAAAAGGGGGGGGGGGGGGGGGGGGGGGGGCCCGGGGGGGGGGGGGGGGGGGGGGGGGGCCCCCCCCCCCCCCCAAAAAAAAAAAAAAAAAAAAAAAAAGGGGGGGGGAAAAAAAGGGGGGGGGGGGGGGGGGGGGAAAGGGGGGGGGGGGGGGGGAAAACAAAAAAAGGGAAAAAAAAAAAACAAAAAAAAGGGGGGGAAAAAAAAACCCCCCGGGGGGGGAAGAAAAAAAAAAAAAAAAAAAAAAAAGGGGGGGGGGGGGGGGGGGGGGGCCCAAAAAAAAGGGGGGGGAAAAGGGGGAAAATTTGAGTCTAGAAATAAGTCTTGATATGATTTAAGACGGACTAGATGTCAAAAGTAGTCATTTTTAGAATCAATAAAAAAAAAAGAAAACAAAAAAAAAAATTAGGGAAAGGGGAGTGTTGCAATAGTATCATAGAAATCGCATTGTGCGCAGCCGGGATTTTTCGAACCTACGACCTAAGGTATGAGAGTCGCACGCTGAAGCCACTAGGCTTACACTGCTCACTTAATTTAAAACATTTGGTAAATTTACCAAGTTATTTAAAATCTTTGTGATAACAAAGAGAATGTCTGATACAAAGGCGGAGTGGCCATTGGGAATGATTGCAGATGAAATGAAAGCCTAGTGATTTTCATACTAGCATTCAGCTAATATGTCTTTACGCTTAATCGTCATGGATATTGTATTATATAACCTTAAATTGTCAGTTATGCCGACTTATGTCAATAAACCCCAAAAGAAGAACATTTTCGATTCCATCTACAATTCCTGTCCTCATTTCATATTACAGTAACTAATTAGTACTTCTATGAATAGATCTAGGCTTACTTCACTGGCCCAGATTACCTTTTCCATTTGAATGGGTAAAGGCACTTCTGAAGATTTTTCGCTTAGTTTCTCATTTTATGAAAGATATCATAAAACTATATTTAATAGCATAAAATATAACTTTATTTAGTAGAATGAACAGTTAATCTATCATAAATAGTTTTTAGTGTCTCCTCTGCGTTTGAGCCTCGGTAGAATGCGAGTGGAAACCTGGAGCTTCTCTACCAGA